TATATATATATATATATATATATATATATATATATATATATATATATATATATACTTGATGGGCAAGTGTTTGTGCCGCTGGAGCAAAATAATCGCACGGCTTCCGATCGCGCTCGCAATCTCGACGCACGCAACGACCGACGCACGAATCGATCGAGATCGGCGGAGAGACATTACCAACGCATATACAAATTTACTCTGAGAAACGAATCGACTCGATCCGCTCTCTTCTCTCTCTCTCTCTCTCTCCCTCCCATTCTTTCTTTCTTTCTTTCATTCTCTAATGCCGCACAGAGACGCCTCTCTTGTGTTCTCTGTCATTGTTCTCTTTATCTCTTCCTATCTTTCTCCTCCTTTCGTCACTTCACCTCGCGCACTCTTCCTCGAATTCTAAAAAGGTAATGACGTTGATCCCATAGAATACGTGTTTTAAACATCTAGGCACAATTCCTAATGATTGTTTTGGGCGAGCTTGTGCGCAAGAAAATCTTCCTCCTTCACCTCCGAACGGCGGAACTTCGTTTCTCGATCTTCGGACGCGCCGAGGTGATCCTCTCCGTTTCGGAGGCCACGTCTCTAGACCGATTTCATTATTGTTCACGGAAACGCGCAATGACGGATAATTTTATGACAAACACGCGTATGCAGAAAGTACGAATCGTTGATATTTATCTCTTTCCTCCTCCTCCTTCTCACTCAAATTTTGCACCTTCTCCTCCTCGCTCAATTTTGCTGCTCAACATTGGGTGCTTTGATTTCAGCTTCGTTTCCCGGATTTTATTTACTCGAACGATTGCGACCAATTGTGCGCACTTGCTTGCTCCCGACAACGAAGATTCTTCGGACGCGTCGAAAGATACGAAACACAAAGTTTTTTTTTTCTCAATCACCCTTTCTTCCTGTGTAGATCGTTGATTAATGATCGTCGCGCCTGTGTGTGTGTGTGTGTGGATCGCGGTCGTCGCACCACATTTCGATCCACATCAACGCGATGTGTTCGGGCAGAATAGTAGTAATGAGATAATAAAAAAACAAAAAAAAACAAAATGAACATGAAACAGAGAGGAGGTGTGAGGATCGCGCGTAAGGAGCGATGTGAAGTTCCCGCGTGCACACATGGCGAGTAGGAAAGGGAACGATATCGGCCGCACTTGGAAGTGAATCGACTCGAGGTTTCAAAAGTCATCCCTGCGATTCGCGCGACATGGGGAGAGGGTACAGGGCGCGGGTGAAAGATGGTGGTAGCTGGAGACACAGAAAGAACACAAAAAACGGGTAGGTTTATTTTTTTTTTCTTTCAATCGTTTTCTTGACAAATCGAATTAATATACGTACGTGTACTTTCGTCCCGCTCGCTCGCGAAGTCTTTTTATTCTCGCTTCGACATTCGGTGATATATCAGGGGATGATCGGGGAGGAATTGTCTGGAAGAAACAAACATGTCGGGGAGGAAGGGAAGGTTGA